ATGCCCAATTGCATTTAATTTGGATATTACAGTAGAGTCAGTGATTGCATTTATTTAATACTGTGGTTTTGTGAGAAAAAGGAGGAAATATATTGATGGTAAAGGTAATAGAGAGTGATTGAATGGTTTATGAACCCCAAGCTAGGAGGAAAAGGAAAAACTATTGGAATAGAGCTGGTAGTTTGAATCTGGACTGGTGGGAAGTGTATTGAAATAAAACAACTGGAAAGTTAAAGAGAGTAGAATGTTTAAGAACGTTTAAGAATACAAGTAGTGGCCTGGCCAGTGGTTGAGCATTGACCCATGAACCAGGAAGTCACGGTTCGATTCTTGGTTGAGTCATATGCTGTGGTTGCTGGCTTGATCCCCAATATTTTCATCATTGGTGTTTCTACCCTTCTCCCTTTCTTTTTCTGAAATCAATTTTAAAAATATATATATATATGTATGTATATGAATACAAGTAGTGAATCAGTTCAGATGATGGCAGGGTGCCTAATATGGCAATGGGACAGATTTTCTGGGGCAGAGTGATGTAATTTTTTTTTCTTCCTTAAATCCTTACCTGAGGACACTTTAAAAAAATATATATTTTAATTGATTTTTTTTTTTTTTTTACACAGAAGAAGGGAGAAGCGTAGAGACTTAGAAATATCGATGAGAGAGAAACATCCATCAGCTGCCTCTTGCACACCCTCTACTGGGGATGTGCCTGCAACCAAGGGACATGCCCTTGACCGGAATCGAACCTGGGACCTTTCAGACCGCAGGCTGACGCTCTATCCACTGAGCCAAACTGGTTAGGGTACGAGGACACGTTTTTATTGATTTTTTTAAAGGGGGTGAGAAACATTTATGTGAGAGAGAAACAACGATTGGCTGCCTTCCACATAAGCCTTCCATGTACTCCTTAGCTCAGTATTAAACCCACAACCTAAGTGTGCCCTGTCCAGGAATTGAACCCGTAAGGTTTAGGTATACAGGATGATGCTCTAACCTACTCAGTCACCTGGCCAGGGCAGAGGGATTTTTCTTTTTTAATATATTTTACTGATTTTTTACAGAGTAGAAGAGAGAGGGGTAGAGAGTTAGAAATATCAATGAGAGAGCAACATTGATCAGCTGCCTCCTGCACACCCCCTACTGGGGATGTGCCTGCAACCAAGGTACATGCCCTTGACCAGAATTGAACCCGGGACCCCTCAGTCCACAGGCCAATGCTCTATACACTGAGCCAAATTGGTTAGGGCGAGGGATGTTTTTTTTAAAATATATTTTTATTGGTTTGTTGGGTTTTTGTTTGTTTTAAATATATTTTTATTGATTTCAGGGAGGAAGAGAGAGTTTAGAAACCTCAATGATGAGTAAGAGTCGTTGATTAGTTGCCTCCTGTATGCCCCACACTGGGGATTGAGTCAGCAATCTGGGCATGTGCCCTGACCAGGAATTGAGCTGTGACCTCCTGGTTTATAGGTTGATACTCAACCACTGAGCCACACAAGTCGGGCAGTGTTCTAGTTTTTGTTCTTGGTAGAGTTGTAACCACTTGTCAGTGAAAATGCCATGTGTCAGTGTTAATTCATTTTAATATTTGAAGTATGATGTTAGACTCTTTTTTTTGGTGGGGGTGTGTGTGGTAATTCTCACCTGAGGATATTTTTCCATTTATTTTTAGAGGTAGTAGAAAGGGAGGGGGAGAGACGAGAGAGACACATGGATTAGTTGTCTCCCACACATGCCCAAGTGGGGCCGGGGATTGAGCTGCAAACATGGTACATGCCCTTGATCTGAATTGAACCCAGGACCCTTAAGTCCACAGGCCGACACTATCTACTGAACCAAACTGACTAGGTCGAGTTAGACTCTTTACTAGTTAATCATTTATATGGTTTGATTATTTTCTGGTTCATTGTTGATCACAGTGGGAGGAAGGAAATGAATCAACTAGTGTTGCCAACCAGTTTTTTGAAAGCTCATGGTTCCTTCTATTTCTTGTATAAATGAGATTCAATTTTTAGCTCAAGTAGTATTTTTTTCTTACTAAAAATAGGACTTTTTCAAACTGCCTTTCTTCATTTTACATAAATTAATGAACTTTGGTTGCATTTTGTGCCTCTATCTGTATTTCCAAGGTATGATTTCCATAATAATTAGGGTTGTAGCATAGTTTTCTTGAACTGCTGGTCAAGTCTGACTCATAAAAGTTTGTCATCATTAGTAAATTTAGGGATATTTTTCAAACATCAAAATTTCTGGCTACTCTTAAGCAGTTACTGATCACTTTAGATATTAGGCATTCTTCAAAGCACTTTGTACATAATAGAATTTTAAATTATAAATCAGTGTGATGTAGCTACTGTTTTCTTTGTTTCACAGATGAGAGAACAGAGGTTCTTTAGTAAGAGGTAGAAGTGGGATTGGAACCCAAGTAGTCTGACTAGAGGTCCGTTTTGCTTAACTCCTAAACTAGTAACATTATTCTACAAACCATGGCAGTGACACCCTGAAGCTTAGTCACAGCTGCCTCCTGTAGAAGGAAGCATGATATTCCATTTTACCTCACTACAGCTCTGGTGTGGAGGACTGACTGACTGACTGGCTACATGTGTGGGATGAGGGCAGGGGTACTGAGGAGGACATGGTGCACCTAACTCATGTAGCTAGGAAGATAATTTGATTTGTTTATTTGTCAAGGGGATATGACCTTTAATTTATTCACTAGTCTTGTGTTCCTTTGTAATGATGACAATTTTCACTTCCTCTGTTTATTGTATCTCAGACACTGTATTAAACACCTTACATATATTCTCATTTAATATTTAATTCAATGTCACATACATAAGGGCACCATAAATATTAAGATGCTAAGATTGTTTGGGGGGGGGCGGTAAATGTGATATTCTGTATTAAAGTTATTAAGTAGTTGTACAACTAGTTCTGCCTAAATTACTGTATTTGTTATAAAAAAAAATTTGCTTCCCTTAGGATATAGTTTTTCAAAACATGCCTAAATGTACTTACTATTTGTAAAGATAAAAGTTAGAATAAAAGTTGCACCAAGAAAATACTGTGGTATCAGTATTTAGTAAGACATGGAAGTTTGCTGAATGCATTTTTGTAATTTACATTTCTCACACTAAACAGATTTCCTTTGTCATTTTATTGAAAGTAAATGCTTGTCAGTGGGTAAAAGCCCTTTTTATAGCAGTCGCTATTGTTGGGAGTTGCTGATTGCTTATCTTACATATGTTGCTCTTTATTTTTTTCTCCTAGGTACTTGATGAAGAAGCAGAAGTTTTTATAGTCAAAATGTGGAGATTATTGATATATGAAACAGAAGCCAAGAAAATTGGTCTTGTGAAGTAAAACTCTGTACATTGAGAGTTCCATTTCAGCTATCGTCTTTCCCATCCTTCAAAGGACTCTGAAAAATTTTTTTGTCTTCAAAGACATTTGTGAGATCTGTAATTTTTTTTAAATGTAGAAAATGTGAATTTTTTTTTTTTTGTCCTCCAATTTGTTGATGCCCTGTGTACTCCCTTGGTTGTAAAGACATCCGAATCCTACCTTGGTTCTCTTTATACTCACCAGGTACAAATTACTGGTATGTTTTATAAGCCACAGCTACTGTACACAGCCTATCTGATATAATCTTGTTCTGCTGATTTGTTCCTTGTAAATATTAAAATGACTCCCCGATTCTTTTGCAGAATTGCACTTAATATTGAACTGTACTGTACAGGAACCAACATGAACAATTTTAATAGAAAGAATACCAGCCCACATCTATTACCCATACCCCCTTGATCAGAATTGGCAGGCTTTCATGAAGGCATGAAATTTAAAATTAGAGTGTGAAAATTAGGAGACCATCCATTCCTACTGTATCTCTGTATGAATGTGTTTGTGTGAATGTATATATAAAAGTATTTTCCCTAATTTGCTTTGGAGGGCTCCCTTGAACATTTTCTAATTGAAAAATATAATTGTAAAGGAAACATGGTATTGTGCCAATCCAAATGTCTGGGATAATTAGGTTAATAGTCTCCCAGAGCATGTTAGTCTCTTACGGCAAGAAACAGTCTGTTGAACAGAATGGGGTTTTCCTGTTGATAGCTGGCTGCTTCATCCCTTCTTTTATGGGAGTGTGAATCAGTGGTTCCCCTCTCTCCCCCCAATCTCAATTGTTCAGAAATGAGGCAAATCCTTAGATTGCACTGATTGGTCCTTAGTTTAATTTTGGTGTGCCCCTTTGCTTAAAAAAATAAAAAGCATAAATGAAAAATACTTTTTAAACAAAAGATAAAATTAGGCAATTTTACAGACTAGGAAAGTTTGACAAAATACAATAGAATTTCAGCATGGCATTTTATAAAAGTTTACATCTTATTTTTAAGGATAAAGTACATCATTTAAGGCAGTTACCACTAATTTTTTGTTTTGTAAAGGCTTTATAGCTTGTGTGTGTGTAAGCACACACCTTGTTTACCTCTGCTCATCAAAGTTTAAAGATACATTGATGGTGTTGGAGACACACATGGGGCTTTCTTTATTGTACATCAGAACTTCACCAGGGAGCAAAATTAATCGAAAATATAACAAGTTTTAAACAGTTCTAAATACAAAGTAGGTGCAGCTATTTCATGTCTAAGTATTTATTTAAAGACGAAGATTGGGAATAGGAAGATAAAGCCTAACTGAGCTTGAGTTACTAGATTTTTTTTTTTTTTTTACATCTTAAGAGGACATTTGAAAACACTGTTCTTAACATTGAACCATGACATGGTTCCCTCATGTAAATATTTCGGATATTAAAAATGTATATATTTGATCTCGGGGACTCATTCTTTCAGTCTTATTAAGTAAGTGACATGTAATTGTGCGGTTCATATTAGAAACTTGAAATTATGGGTTGAATTGATTTCTTTGAGTATTACTAGTAACTAAAGGTCAAAGAGACCATTTACCTTATTTTGGGTTAATCTAAATGTCTATGGAGATATCCCCTTTTAGTGTTGTAATATTTTAAATTCTGGTTTCTCAAGTAAAATTTCAGAAACATGAAATTTACAAATTCATTTACTAGCTTTTTCTCAGATTGACCCCTAAGCCTAACATCTTGTTTGAGCTTCATTATGCCTATTTTCTCTTACCATATTACCACTTCTAAGGCATCATATTGACTGTTTTATTTAGTCAACATTGGTATTAATTTCTTTTGCTCTTGCTCTTTCACTATATTTATCTTAAAAGGCCCATATCTTTATGCTAAGTGAAATAAGCCAGTCAGAGAAAGATAAATATCACATGATCTCACTCATTTGTGGATTATAGAGAACAACTTAGACTGAGGAAAAGGGACAGACCCAAAGACTGAGAAACAGCGATCAGGTTATCAATCCCCAGAAGGGAAGTAGGGGAGGGCGAGGCAAAAAAAAAAAAAAAAGGCCCATATCTGAAACGCTTGGGGACACATACCATGTACTGCATAACAACTCCAGAGAGATTTGCTTCAGAATCCAAGTTCATACATTAACATTTCTATAGCTTTAAGTTTTTCAGATTTACATGTAAAGAATTGGACATGTATAAACTGCTGGGGTATTCAAGTGTTTGGGAGAATACACATAAACTTTGTACTAAATTGCTTGAGCTTTCTGGGTCTTTACCATTTGCTCATAATTGAATTTCAGTTTGGAAACCTTGCTTGATTCATATTGCCCATTCCAAGTATAAAAATGGCAGTTAAGCCCTGGCCGGTTTTGCTCAGTGGATAGAGTGTCAGCCTGGGGACAGGGATCCCAGGTTCAATTCCAGCCAAAGGCACATGCCTGGGTTGTGGGTTAGATCCCCAGTAGGGGGCGTGCAGGAGGCAGATGATCAATGATTCTCATCATTGATGTTTCTATCTCTCCCTCTCCCTCTCTAAAATCAATAAAAAATATTTTTTAAAAAGGCAGTTAAAAAACCAAACCTTTTCCTCATTTGACCATATAGATAAAATAATTTAAAACATGTATGTCTATTTATAGGAGAAAAAGTTATTTTAAGTTTTTTTTAAATGTACTTTTATTGTTTTTCTTTTAGAGAGAGGAAGGGAGGAGAGAGGGAGACACATCAATTGGTTGCCTCTGGTACACACCCTGACCAGGGACCAAACCTGCAACCTGGGCTTGTGTCCTGACCAGAATCGAACTTGCAACCTTTTGGTGTACAGGACAATACTCAACCAAATGAGCCACACCAGCCAGGGCTGACTTTTTTTAAGATCAAACTATCTCTTGGAGGAATCTTGTTAAAGTGCAGACTCTGACTTAGTTGTAGGGTGGGGCCTGAAGTCAATGATGATGTGAATGCTAAATCATCCAAGGACTACACTTTCATTAGCAGTTTAAGGTATCTATTCAGTACCAGTATTTTATCCTAACAGTACATAAATGCAGCTTTATTTTCTTTTTAAGTAGATTTTAAGATATTTTTATTAATTTCAGAGGAAGGGAGAGGAAGAGAGAAACTTCAGTGATGAGAGAATCATTGATCAACTGCCTCCTTTATGCTACTGGGAATGGAGCCCACAACCCCGGGCCGTGCCGTTGGCTGGAATTGAACCTGGGACCCTTCAGTATGCAGGTTGACGCTCTATACAGTGAGCCAAACCAGCAAGGGCTTTTTAAGTAGATTTTTAAAAAGGAAAACATTTTTGAGGCAAACAACATACCTATTCTGTATGTTCATGAATGTAAAGTAATCTCTTGCAAAAATGTTGGCTGAGAACAATTCTAATAGGCTTCATTCCTAGCCAGTCCCAGAACATTTCCTCCTTAGAGAACTTTATGTTGTTAATTTGAATCTTGTCATAGTGCTTTCTGATAAACTATGTAATAGTAGAAGCTAACGATTACTTAATGGAGAGTGCTGTTTCAGGTACTCATCAGGCACACCCTCAAGTGAGGAAACTCAGTTTGAAAGTCAAAGTGTACTAAACTTATTTTTTTCTTCTTTCATATGAAGTATAAGTTTTTTTAAATGCAAGTAAGTGTAAGCCAGGTAGGTATACTAATGTGTATATGAGGCTTATTTACCCAGTTCTTTCTAATGAGTTCTATAAATGTTTTCACATCTATGCAGAAACTGCTAAAAGGTTTTATGTCAAAATTTTTCCTGGTCATATTTTAGCCTTCTATTAATAGTATAAAGTTGAGAGATAGCTTTTGCTTAGCAATAGATGGTGAAATTGATTTGTGAATACTACTGGATATAAAGGATATGAGAAGGAATCCTAAATAGGCGAAGAAACAGTCTAGATGACAAGAAGAAAACGGAATTCAGATACAGTGGGGCCTTGACTTATGAGTGTCCTGACTAACGAGTTTTTCCGACGAAAAACAAGCTGTCTCTCAGCCGATTTTTTGCTTTGAGTTGCAGAGTAATTTGAGTTAACGAGCTCCTTAACGAACTCCGTCACGAAAGGAATTAAACTCGTAAGTCAAAGCCCTGCTGTATTTGTATTTCAAACCCAGGAACTGTTACTTTCATACTTTAGACCAAAGTGAGCTTATAATTAACTATTTTTAGCTTATAATTATTGATAAATGGGTAGATTTTTAAAAACGTTAAATTATTGAAATATTTATTTGCATTTGAATGCTTATATTTTCATCTTTAACAGATACTCACTTTTCATTTTATTACTTGACTCATAAAGGCCAAATTAGAAATTAGCAATCTAAAATGCCCAGTAAGGAAAGATCTGTAATAATAAAAGAGTAATATGCTAGACCGGATGGCTGACCTTTGGGACCAAGCCCCTTGCATTAATTTCGAGCATCAGGCCTCTAGTAATTTCTATAAACAAAAATGACTAAACATTCTCAAGCCATGTTTGAATTAAAGACCACTCCCAAGTCTGCCACATCACACATTAGCGGTAGCTGACCTTTGAGCAATTCATTGTGTGCCAGATACTCTTAGGTTTCGGGATTACAAAAATAAGCCATTTCCTGCTTTCTGGAAGCTTACCATTTAGGAAGACTCGTTCTTAATTTGGATCCCGAGAATCCCAGACATTTGTTTAAAATGAGGTTTCTCAGGCTTGCTTAACCCATCAGAAGTTTTGATTCAACGAGGAAAGAGAAGGCACAAGCATTTACAATTTTAATTAGCATCCTCTTGACTGGTGCAGCTGATTCACATTGAGAGACACCCTAGCCTAGGTTATCCAGAGAATGAAGAAACTTTCGGCTTAAGATGCCATAACTTGTTGGCTTGGAGAACACACACTGGGCCCAGTCCGTATACGCAGAAACTTTGGCCCGGGTCACGACCTGTCTCGGATCCTAGACTACCTCCACTCGTGCGGGCACTCCAGGTGAGTTCGTCCAGGTCCCAGACTTAGACAATCCGTGCCCACACCACCGGAAGCCCCACCCCTTTGGTCTCTCTAGAGCCCACCCCTTCGCCTGCGGGCCAGCCCCCAACGACGCCAGAACCGGAAATGACGACAGCGGTGAAGCCTTCTGGGCGGGGCCTGGGCCGGGCAGCTCCTGAGGCCGAGATTTCACATCGGAAACAAAACAGGCGCTGCTCGCGAAGGAACCTCGGATGCGGGCGGTCGTAGGAGGCCGCGGCGAGGAGGAAGTAGGTGCGTGATGGGGAGTCCGGGGAGAGAGGAAGGCGCCCCTCATCCAGTGTTGACACGGGCGGCCGCAGGCTCGGCCGGCCCTTTGTCGCCTTCCTGGCCGCGGAGCCGGCGTCCTGGAGGATGGGGAGCGGGGCGCGGCAGGTTGGGGACGCTGGAACCCCGTGTGGAAAGTAAAGAGGGGCTGCCCGTTTCTCGGGTTCGGGGCGCAGCGTGCGGTCGGGTGGAAGAGAGACCTTCGGAGCCTCGGTCCGGAAGTGCTGATTTCTCGGAGATGTCTGAGGGCGCAGGTGCCGCGGGCCGGGATTGGCCGTCCTGACCAGTGGAGCCGGAGAAAGGGGAAGCGCGGAGCGCCCAGCCAGGTTGGGCAACGAAACTCCACGCCTCATGTCGACTGTCCCGGTCCAGGGGAGGCGAGTGGCGCTCAGGGTTAAAAAAGTTCCTCATGTCTCACGTTCTAAGCGGAAAGCAGGGTCCGATGCGTTTGCCTTGATCGGACTGTCCCAAGGCTTGTATGTCCGATGCCTTGCTTGTGCCTTACATGTTTGTGTTTTCTTCCCGCTCGGATTATTTTCCTTTTGTCGGAAAATAATGATAAAGTTAAAAGCATCATTTGTCTGCTTTGAACAAGATGAATAACGTGTCCAAGGTTTACTATGGGAGATAGTATGCACAGTGTGCAAATAACTATAAGGCAGAGCACATTGTAAAGGCAAATACATTGGTTGGCGTTTGAGGCAGGTAGAGATCACATCTGCTTTAGGGGATCTTGTTATTCATTATCTTTTGCAGTGGGAAGGCTTTCATCCTTGGAGTCCAAGTGGGGAGGACATTATGACCATGAGGTGTGCAATAAACAGGGGTCCTCTGGATCTTACTATCCAGTGATCCAGCCTGAACATGAAATGACTGTTACGAAGGAAGCTAAAACGGGGAAGTAGATTGGATCCTGTTGCATTTGGCTAATTTCAGTCACCTGCAAAAGCCTAGTTCAGTTTCCTTAACTCACTGGCAGAGTTCAACCAATTTAAGCCCCACCCCCACCCACGTTTAATAACAACCCTTTAACAATGAAAACATAAGTCTATTTATTGAGTGCATGGATCCTCCCCTCCCCTCACCTGTCATCTGGTTTTCCATTCTACCACTCCTGGTTCTTGGGTAGAAAGTCCCCACAGTTCTGGGTATCCTTTCTTCCGAATGGACACCATTTACTGCTGGATTTTAAGTTAATGGGTGCATGAATTTCCATTTGCCGAGAACCTGAGGATTGGAGTTGGTCTCTGAGAATCATCCTAGCAGAAAAGTTACCAAGATTTATGTAGTTCTCTTCCTCCCTCTCCAGGTTCCCTTGGCTAGTACTCTTTACAGGGTGAGACTTCTTGCAGATAAAAATGCTGAAAAACCTTTCGAAGACCCCTAATACTGCTCGTCCGGCATGTGTTAGATGCCAGGCAGATTTGGAAGGTGATTTGAAAGTGTGGCACTGTTGTCAGAGCTTTCTTTAGGCACATTAATCTGGTAGTTGGGGCTAGAAGGGAAAAGAGAATTGAGGTGACTGCATAATCAAAGGAGATATAATGAGAATTTGATCTTTAGTGGTAGCAGAGGCTTAGAAAGAAAGAAAAACCATGAACAGGACATGGCAGCCGATTGAGCAAGGAATAAAGTGTCAAGTTCACAAGGAGACTTTAAGTTTTGAAAATGGGAGAGCTGATGACACAAATAAGGAAGTTAGGAGCAAAGCACTATTGTAGAGAAGAAGATGAGGAAGTCCTTTGGGCAGGCCTGGAGCTGTAAACATGAGAGTCCCTTAGACTTTTGAGTTGGTGGTGAAGCAGTGGATGAGACATGTAAGGAGAGAGAGGGACCAGGAGACCCAGGCACATCCTCAGGAACACTTACACTTTGGGGTGGAAGAGTGAGGAGCCCGCCAGCTCAGGAAGATGGAGTGGCGGGAGGAAAACCTCGGTGGTTAGTTCAGTGTCACAAAAGCTGAGGAAGGGAGGGAAGCCCCAGGAAGGAAGGGGTTGTCAGGGGTTGTCAGCACTAGGCCTGGTGTATCAGAAAGAACTGAAGGTTCAGAGCACCACTGTCCAATGAAAAGATAAAGTGAATTTCAAATGTTAATTTTAAATGTTCTAATAAATTTTGAAAGGCAGAAAGAAATAGGTAAAATTAATTTGAATAACATTTTATATAATTCATGACATCTAAAACATTTTGATTTCAACATGTAA